ACATCATTAATCATCAGGGACATGCAAATCAAAACCACTATGAGATACCACATCACAGCTGTAAAGGTGGTTATTATTTTAAAAAGTCAAAAAATAACAAATGTTGACAAGAGTATGCAGAAAGAGTAATTAAAAATAGAACTACCAAATGACACGCGATCCCACTGCTGAGCATATACCCAAAGGAAATAAAATCATCACCATGTAAAGATTCCACATTCCTATGTTCATTGCATCATTATTCACAATAGCCAAGATATGGAAAAAGCTAATTGTCTGTTGATAGAAAAATGAATAAAGAAATTGTGGTACATATATACAATGAAATATTACTCAGACTTACAAAAGAATGAGATCTTTTCATTTACCACAACATGGCTGGGTCTGGAGGACAATTATGCTAAGTAAAATAAGCCAGACACAAAAAGAAAAATATTGCATGATCTCACTAATTAAATATGGGATCTACAAAAAGAAATCAAATATACAGAAAGAGAGAACAAAACAGTGGTTACCAGGGACAGAGGGGTTAGAGGGGATGAAATGGGAAGATGCAAGTCAGAGGATACAAAGTAGCTGATGTGTAGGATGAACAAGTCTAGAGATCTAAAGGACAACATGAGAACTATAGATAATAAAACAGTACTGTATATGGGATTCATGCTAAATAGGAACATTTTAGATGTTCCTACCACAAAACCAAAAAAACAAAAAAAAAATGGGTAAGTGTGAAAGGACAGATATGTTAATTTACTTCAATGTAATAATCTTTATACTATCTACGTATATCCCATAACATCATGTTGCATAGCTTAAATTTACAAATAAAATTTACTAAAAAAAAATAAGTAAAAGGATAGTTACATTTAAACTTGAGTTTTAGGGGTAGGGAAAGGGCCAATCAGGGCAGGGTGGGTAAGAAATTTTGGAGGGTGATGGGTGTGTCCTTATCTTGACTGCGGTGATGGTTTCACAGGTAACGCTTATGTCAAAACTTATCAAACTGTACACTTTAAATATGGGCCATTTATTCTATGTCAATTATACCTCAAAAAAATTATTTAAAAAAAATCTTTTTAACTTCTAGATTAAAAAAACCATAAAATATTATTGGAAAGATACACTATGTTCATAAATTGGAAAACTTGATATTATAAAGATTTCAGTTCTCTTCAAATTGACCTATAGAAACAATGTAATCCAATCAAGATCCCAGATTTTTAATAATTTCATTTGCAGATTTCAAAATATATATGGAAATGCAAAGGCAAAGAACACACAAGACAAGTTTGAAGAACAACATGAAAGGAGTTACTCTATCCCTACCACAACTAAATATAAAGCAACAGTAATCAAGACAGTGGAATACTGGCACTTGGATAGACAAATAAACCAGGGGATCAGAGAGTCCTGAAACAGATGCTCGTGCATATGAACATTTGATTTATAACAAAGATATGACTGTAAAGTAGTGGGGAAAGAGTAGTCCTTTTAATGAATAGAACTTAATCAATTAAACATTCATATAAAATGTATTCCTCCTAATTCATACCACAAATACCAATTTCAAGTAACTATCACATCTAAATGTGAAAGGTAAAACCATAAGTTTCTAAATGATTACACAAGAGAACATCTTTGTGATCTAAATATAGGGAATGACTTCTTAGACAGGTCAAACAAGTACTAACCACAAAAGAGAAGATAGAAAATTAAACTGGATTAAAATTCAATAAAGTCCCATTAAGAACAATATAAAAATGAAAAGAAACAAGCTGCAATATGGGAGATGATACGTGCAATACAAAAAACTCACAACGTGCTCATATAGAAAATATATAGGCCAGGCGCAGTGGTTCATGCTGTAATCCCAATACTTTGGGAGGCCGAAGTGGGTGGATCATCTGAGGTCAAGAGTTCAAGACCAGCCTGGTCAACATGGCAAAACCTCATCTCTACTAGAAACACAAAAAAATTAGCCAGGTGTGGTGGTGCACGCCTGTAATCCCAGCTATTCGAGAGACTGAGGCAGGAGACTCACTTGAACTCGGGAGGCGGAGACTGCATTGAGCCGAAATCATGCCATTGCACTGCAGCCTGGATGACAAGAGCAAAACTCCATCTCAAAGAATAAAAAAAAAAGAAAAAAAATATATAAAGAGCTCCTACAGGCCGGGCACGGTGGCTCAAGCCTGTAACCCCAGTACTTTGGGAGGCCGAGACGGGCGGATCACGAGGTCAGGAGATCGAGATCATACTGGCTAACACGGTGAAACCCCGTCTCTACTAAAGAATACAAAAAACTAGCCGGGTGACCTGGCGGGCGCCTGTAGTCCCAGCTACTCGGGAGGCTGAGGCAGGAGAATGGCGTAAACCCAGGAGGCAGAGCTTGCAGTGAGCTGAGATCCGGCCACTGCACTCCAGCCTGGGCGGCAGAGCGAGACTCTGTCTCAAAAAAAAAAAAAAAAAAAAAAAAAAAAACCTCCTACAAAACAATAACAGACAATCCAATTGAAAAGTGGACAAAAGATGCAAACTGGCACTTCAAACAAGAAAATAACCAACTGTCTACAAACATATGAAAATATGTTCATCATCAGTAGTAATCATGAAATGCAAAAGAAAACCAAAATGTGACACCATAAACACCTATCATAATAGCTACTATTGAAAGGACAAGTAATAGCAAGTGTTGGAAAGAAGAAGAGCAACATGCATTCTCATACACTGTTAGTGGGAGTGTAAATTAGTGCAACCACTTTGGAAACCTATTTTTTGGTGTCTACTAAATTTGAAGGCATCTAGGATCTGCACTCCATGTTATGTACCATCAGAAATGCATGCACATGTACACTAAATATTGAATAAGAGTGGTCATAGCAGTATTATCCATAGAAGCCCCAAATTTCAAATAATCCAACTATCTATCTGTAGCTATAGAATGTTAAAATATATTGCCGTATATCCATACAATGGAATACCAAAGAACAATAAAAATGAACAAAATGCAAGAACCTGACACAACACCTATTACAATCCTAATGATTAGCAAAAGAAGTCAAAGATCAAAAAAACTTGTCCTATATGGTTCCATTAATACAAGGAGTTCAAAACAGGGAGAAATTATAGGGTTAAAAGGCAAAATAGTGATTATCTTTAGAAAGCAAGAAGTTAGTGATTGGAAAGAGAAATTAGATGTTTTATAGAATACTGGTAATATTCTATTTCTAGATCTGGGTGGTGAGCGTATGTTCACCTCATGATAATTCATCAAGCTATACACTGATACATGTACTTTTCTGTATGTATACCTCCGAATTTTAAAATTTTAAAACAAGTAAAAAAGAAGAGAGAGCTTCAGCAGCTTTCCTTGTCAAGTAACAGGTTCCACTCTGGAATTTATGAGACAAGACAGAATATTACTTAGTAAGTTAAAGAGGGCCTTAGAGCAACATTCTTAAATGTGTACTTCAGCTCTTGTTTAGTACGTAAATCAGACAATAGCACAGATTTCGTACTGTGTGAACTATTGCAATTACCTAAGAAAAGCACCAAACTGCTAATCTCAGAAAAGTCCTTTATTGGAAGTATGTGATGTTTTAGATATTTTAGACTGGTACAGTTTAAATTGAAGGTACCCTTGGTACATCTGAAAAAATCTAGAACTTTATGCAAAAAAATATATCTTGATATTACACATTAGATGCCACATTGCCACACATTAATTGCAAAAATGTTGTCTACTTCAGCAGAAGACAGGCATTGTATCTTCACCTTTCTTAGGCTCTTCACAAAAAACTTAATTCCAAAAACACAAAAGAAAAGTATTTTCATGTAGCCAAGTGTGTATTCATATTTTTAAAATAAGCAAATTTCACTATAAGAGAAATTTTCAAATACCGTATTTTCAAAAAGATCAACTTCGTTGATCTTTTTATCTCTTAGCACATTCAGCCAATAAATTCAAACTCCAAAATGAACTCAACATATCTATGTAAGGAACTGTAAACAAATTAACAACTGGAGAAAAATTATCTACTTTTACTAGGAAACTTTCAATTTGAATAAAATATATTAAGAAAAAAATCCTGTTCACTTTCCTTATCTTGAAAAAAAGGTATTATGAGAAGTGAATAAATGAATAAATACACTCCTGAAGCGGACAAATTCGCTAGTGACCATTAACCGTTTCCTCCTAAAAAGAGAAACTGATAATATGAAGAAATTAACACTATATACACTGTATTTTTTTAACCTTAATTCCACCAAGGATAGTGATTTGATAAAAATAAATCACTGAACAGTGAGTGTCAACAATATGACTTTGAGATAATAAAGCTTGGGAATTAGGAGTATTTTCAACTGGAACCATATCAGACAAAAACACACAGCAAAGAGGTCTTGGTAGCAATTGTAACTACACACATGTGAGACGACCTGAAAACGGGGAGTGCTACAAAACCACTATGAAAAGCATTCTGTGCGGGAGGCTGAGGCAGGAGAATGGCGCGAACCTGGGAGGCGGAGCTTGCAGTGAACTGAGATCCGCCCACTGCACTCCAGCCTGGGCGACGGAGCGAGACTCTGTCTCCAAAAAAAAAAAAAAGAAAGAAAGAAAGAAAAGCATTCCGCACTTCTCAAATATCATTTCACAAAAACTACAGAACAATCAGAGCCAGTAAAACTTAAATTATCTTTCAAATAGTCATCATAAACTCTAACCTAGTTAAAACAAATGTTGACTCTATCTCTAATATGCTAATACTGCTATTTAAATCCCTAAATGTAAATACCAAGTAAATATACCCTAAATATAAATATACCAAATATAAATACCCAAAATTCATGAACATTTTATAAGAGCTACAAGAACACACTTTTAGACAAAATGGGACATACCACCCAAAAGGTTAAACTCTACTAAACTTCACTGTGATTATGGCCAGCCCACCCACCCTCTATAAGTGAAATAAAGCTTTTTATTAAAAAAGAGGTCTCACCACTTCTTGTTTCTGGGCTTCATTAAGTTTTTCAGTCAATTCTTCCAAAGTCCTTTTTGTTTCGGCATCCGACCTAGGCCACAAAAAAAGATTTAAACTTGGATATTTAGAAAATACACAGAACTAGTGAAATGCCTAACATGATAACTATGTTATTACAAAATATTCTACTTTAGTGGTTCTCAAATGTTATAAACATCTGAAACACCTGGAAGGCTTGTTAAAACGCAGACTGCTGGATCCCGTCCCCCAGATTTCAAATCAGCAAATCTTGAGATGAGGCCCAAAAATGTGCCTTTCTAAAATTCGTAGATGATGCAGGAATAGAGGTCTGCAGGTCTGGAGACCAAACTTTGAGAACTGCTGTTACACTGGAACATCAGTCTCAGTAAACAAACATGTTGCAATATCTCCCATTTTAAATTAAGAAAAAAGGAAGAGAGAGAGGGACAAAAGAGAACAAAAACTCTTGATCTTATACGCTCTTTCTAGCAATTCATAAAGAAATTACCTCAAAGTGTGCTGTGCAAACTCTATCCTCACTAACCGACCTCCCATTACCTTGTTTCTGATCAAATTAATAACATACATGATAGGCCGGGCGTGGTGGCTCACGCCTGTAATCCCAGCACTTTGGGAGGCCGAGACGGACGGATCACGAGGTCAGGAGATCGAGACCATCCTGGCTAACACGGTGAAACCCCGTCTCTACTAAAAAATACAAAAAACTAGCCGGGCGAGGTGGCGGGCGCCTGTAGTCCCAGCTACTCGGGAGGCTGAGGCGGGAGAATGGCGTAAACCCGGGAGGCGGAGCTTGCAGTGAGCTGAGATCCGGCCACTGCACTCCAGCCTGGGCGACAGAGCGAGACTCCATCTCAAAAAAAAAAAGAAAAAAAAAAAAACAACGTACATGATAAATGAACAAATCGTACAGAAAGATTTACAAAGAAAAGAAAAAGCCTTTCTGTCTTGCACTGTCTTACTTCTGGCTGCACTTCCCTCTGTGAATCATGCACAACCATTTCCATTATTAATTATTTTGCTAGTTGCCTTCATCATGTTCAACTCAAGACATTTTCGATTGGCTGTTTTGAAATATTTAGCTCATTCTCTAATTTCAGATGTTATTACCATTTTTGGTTCTGTTGGACCTGTAGAGTTTTATGTAATGTATTTATACGTCTTATGAATCTTATGAATTATTCCATCCCATGAAATTGATGGAATTGATGCTTTGTGCTCACATTCTGTCATGCTCACATTTTAGTCAGCTTCACACTTGAATCATAACTTTCTTGTGTTCTTGTCTTTTCCAAGCTTTCTCATTATCTTTTGGCTTTATATGGGCCTTACTTACCACATCATTGATATTTTCCTCCCACTTCTTACTGAATGGTCAACAAACCATCTATTTCACTCTTTTTGACAACCTTCTTCTCAAGGGACACTTACTTTCCTGCTCTAGTGTAGAGTGAATACTTCCTGGGCCTGCTCCATGACTGTCATTCCAGGGTTACTTTCACTGAATCCCCAGGTTAATTTTACTATTTCTTAATATCTTTAACTTTCTATTTCTTGTTTACAATCTTATTTAACTTATGTATCCTTAGGTAATTTCCTCAAAAGGAAATTACCTTAAAAAGATAAATTTTCGAAGACTTTAAACCTCTGAAAATGTCTTTCTGTATGTACGTATAGAATGTTAAAATATATTGCTGTATATTCACACAGTGGAATACCAAAGAATAATAAAAATAAGTAACTGCAAGAACCTGACACAACACCCACAAATATTACAGCCCCTTTCTTGGCTTTTGTGGTTCTATGCAGACTGGAATTTCCCCCACCTCACCAGCTATTCCATCTCAGGTCAGCTCCTCCTTCTATCATAAGATTCCTAAATATTACAACTCCTTGCAACTCAGTCCTGTCCTTGATATCCTCCCTATAGTTTCTCTCGTTATTATCCATTTCCATGGTTCCAAATGACACTTCTCCATGCTGACCACTCTTAAATTTTACCTCAACAGAGACTTTTCTTTGAGCTCCATAGTAAATATCTATCTGAATATTTTACTTTCCATTTGAATGTCTCACAGGCATCTTGAACATAACATATTCAAGGCCAAACTCTCTACACCTCACCTACCCAAACCAGTCTTCCACATCTCAGAAGTGGAATCACCATCTACCTAGTTATTCAAATTGAAAATCTTAGAGTCATCCTTAGTTTATTCTCCCTCACCCACCACTACCAAATCCTGTCTCTTTGATTTCCAAAAACAGTATCTTCAAACACACCCCTGTCCATCTCTCTCCTGCCATAATCCTGGGTCAGGTCATCATCAACTCTCATATACTAGTGCAACAGACTTCTACCTTGCCCTCCTCAAATCAATTTCTTTTTTCCTTTGTGACAGGTTTCACTCTGATACCCGGTAGGAGAGCAGTGACTCATCTCAGCTCACCGCAGCTTCAACCTCCTGGGCTCAAGCAATTCTCCGACCTCAGCCTCCCAAGTAGCTGGGACCATGGGCATGTGCCACCATGCCAGGCTAATTTTTCTGTATTTTTAGTAGACACGGGGTTTCACCATGTTGCCCAGGCTGGTCTCAAACTCCTGAGCTCAAACGATCCACCTGCCTTGGCCTCCCAAAGTGTTGGGATTATCGGCCTGAGCCACTGCACCTGGCCCAAACCAGTTCTTCATATGGCATCGAAAGTAGGTGATTTCTGAATTAAACTTTACTTAATCCTTTCCAAAAGCTTGCTTCCCAGTGTACTTTTATTATTCAATGTATGTTTTGTAATAAATGTCAAAAATGAAAAATCAGTAATTAAATGAGAATACCAACCTTTCAACATCAAATACAAAGTTAAACTTTTTAACTCCCTGTCCATTATTTTTATAAACATGATGTAAGAATTTGTGGTACAAGTAAAGCAGAACAGCAACCAGAAATTTTACACATTCACAAAGGTAAGCCACCTCATTTCCCAAGAAACCTAACTCCTATTTTGGGTTAAACAAAGTTTTCTGCCTCACACATGCCTCTAGGTCACAAAGCTATTACCAGATGGTACCAGCCTATAGATCATAAAAACTATTACCAGATACTAACAGCCCAGTCCAATATTGGTTATTTAAATGACCATTGAAACTAATCATCTAAATCATCCCTGCAACTTCCCCTGTGTCTTCTTACAAGGCAACTATTCCCTTTAACTTATGTTCCCAGTGCTTAATTTATACCCTTCCTTGAAATGGGTAATGGTTATGTAATAAAACCTTTCTTACAATACATTAAAGTGTTAATGTCATTTTGTTAATTTTATCAACTTGTAAAAAAAAAAAAAAACCTAAATATTAAATAAATATTACCAGTTTAAAAGGTTAGCAATATAGCTCAATAATATATCTCACAATCCAGGAATTTAAATGCTTTATTTGTATCAGTCACATGTGAAAATGATTTTGAACCACCATATACTGTAAGTGATAAAGAACAGAAACTTTGGGGTCTTACTGCCTGGATTTTAATTCTGACTCCGCTACAGCCCTCCTGTTGGATTTCCAGAGAGCTGAGTTATTTCATCTCTCTCTGCCCATTTCCTCATCCATAAACTAGAGGAAAAATTAATGATTACCTCAAAGGGTAGTTACTAGAATTAAAGTTAAATCATGAAATAAGGGCTCAATAATATTAGCTAATAGCACTAGTAATAATGGTAGAATCTTTCATTCTCATTACAGCCTATACTTGATATTCATAGCTTTAACATTTATAGTTTTGACTATGTTTGTTGCAGCGACACAGAACTAGTGCGTGGTATGATTTAGATAGCTGGAGTTAGCAAGCAAATATCGTAAACAAATTTCAATTCAGCTTTATTGTTCCCTAATCATTGCTGTATATGGATTGCAATTCTTAGGAAGGCATAAAAATCTTTATTTTTCAGCAAAACATGGCCTCCAAAAGAAAGCCACCTGCCACTGGTGATGACAAAAATAGACAGAGAGTAAAGAAGTTTAAATTAAATAACAGCTCTTCGGGACTATCCAGATTGACAAAATTGCGAAGATGGGGCAGATGTTAATCACTGACCCTCAAAGAATTCAACTAAAAGCTAAAGTATTGCATTCTGCAATGGTTTATGTTCATTGACAAACTTCATGTTACACTTCTTTTTTGTGTGTGCAATGCCAAAAGTCAGTCAGCTAGCGAGTCAGTCTTTGTGTCTCTCTCTCCAATGGTATTTGCAAATCTACCTCTTTGCAAAAGTCTCACAATGTATCCCTCCATAATGTCAGCATTCCATTGTATTAAGTTAAAGTGTTTCTAGAAATAGGAAATTAATTTGTCTAACATTGAGTCATGATATATTCTAAATTCAAAGGGCTGTAAACTGTTCTGTTAATAAATTTTCAGATACTGTATAAAAACAACACTTTTAAAAAATCTAAATATGTCAATTACAGAAGCTAATTTATTCTCCTCATAATTTATCCCTCTCATAAAAACCATAGGCTGCTTTTACCGGCTCCTTCTGGAAAGCTCCCTGTTGAAATCATCTCCAAGGCGAATTTGTTCACTGCTGAGGTCTCGAAGAGACTGATGAAAAGCATGAAGCTAGCAAAGGCAAAACACAGTTATCCATTTAGAATTCTGTAGAATTCTTCCATGAAGATTCGCCAAAGGTAAGAATAAGATCTTGTTCTTTGCAATAATAACCAGATTTTGTAATATTATTATGAAAGAAAACACCTATTTTGAAAGAAAAAATTTCCAAGAAAAACAAATTTTTAAAAGCTTTATATAACATTTACCATCACATTTTCTACAGTACAATTCTACTCCTTCAGAATTCTACCCCTCTAGAAGGGGTCTGTTTCTTCCTTAATCAGAGTAAAAGAAAAAGAAAAAAGAGAGAGAGAGAAAGGAGGAGAAAACCGGTCTGCCAACTTTTTCTGTAAAGAGCCCAATAGCGACTATGCCAGGATTACAAGCTGTACGGTCTCTGTCACAGTTAATCTTGCCACTGTAGCGCAAAAGTAACTGTAAACAAATAAGCGTGGCTGAATTACAACAAAATTTTATTCTATCAGCCTACAATGCCTTACTTTGCCAACTCCTGCTGTAGAGAAACTCTTGCTCATGTACACTTGGAACCATGTACAAGAAAGTATGGTGCAGCATTATTCATAATGAGAACATGAGAAACCAAATGTACACCAAGATAAATAAATTGTGGTATATTCCTCCACTGGAGTATGATACAGCAATGAAAATAAAACAATCAAAGATACCTACGCATTAGTAAAGTTGAATGTCAAAAACATAACATCAAGTAAAATAAGAAGTTACAAAAGATTATAGTAGTATCCCATTTACATGAAGTTTAAAGGCAAGCAACACTAAATAAGATGTAGGTAGTAAAAATTTAAAATGTAAAAAAAAAATTGTTTTTTAAAGCAGAAACAGTGTCATGACATGTATGAAGTCAGGATAGTGGATACCCCTTGGGAAAAGATGGAGTATAAAAGAGGCTTGGGGGTATGATAATGCTTTACTTAGTGGCCTGGGTGGGCGTTATATGGTATTCATTCTCATTATTGTAACTTTAACTGTAAATATATATGCTGAATATAAATCATACTATTTATAAAACTACATTAAACAGACTTAAAGTAACAACAAATTGATTCATTTCAACAAATGCACATTAAGCAATTTATCAGTGCCAGCTACTGAGAAGTGGTTCACAATCTCATACGGGAGCCAGATATGTAAACAAACCACAAATTCTTTACGGGGGCATGAAGAAAGTACACAGTCAAGTGGAGCTAAGGGTAATTTTGAGAATGAACTTAATGAGGAAGAACCATAAAAAGAAAGGAGTGAAGTAGTACAGTGAATGAAAAACTTAAGTTTTGCAACCATGATTTTCCAATTTAGCAAACCAGAATCCGGGGATGCATCCTTGACACTTCCTTTTCACTCACTGCTACATTCCCCACATGGCTATCTAATTTTCAAGACCTTTCCATTTTCTACACTAAAACGCGTTTAATTCTACCTCCTTCTCTCCGACTCCATCTATCCTAACCCAAGTGACCATCAATCCACACCCAGAGCACAGTAAAATCCTTCTAATTGGTTCACCCACATTGACTCCATGTTCCACACTACAGCCAGAGTGATCTTTTCAAAATAATTTTGTCAGCCCTGTCACACAGCTCTACATAATCTCAGCCCTTCATACTTGTTTAGCCTCGTGGGCCTTCTTTAAATTGCTCATAGGGGCTATCTTCCCTCCTGCCAAGCTATTTGTTCTCCCTGGAATGACTCTTACTCAACTTTCAGATCTCAGCTCAGTCAGCCTTTCTTCAGGAAGCCCTGCTTGCCTGAGGCATGTCCTCTACCATACAATTCTGTAGCCCTATGCATCTTTTCACTATAGCATGCATCTCAGTTCATAAATAAGGTTGTATTTATGTATTTATTTAATATCAAGCTCCTCCTCTAGATTATAAACATATTAAAAGACAAGGTTTCTGCTCATCACTGTTTCCAAGTGTAAGCATTATCCCAATAACAGAGACATTAAATAAACAGAAGGAAACAGTAAATGAATAATGTTAAGATATTGTTCTCTGTTCTGGGCTTCATCATATAGTCCATGCTTGCAAGGTGCAACTATCAAAAAAATAACATTGCCAAGGAAAAGTTTCCACAGGGTGTCTTCTAATACATTTGATTTTGTTGTCTCTTTATGCAGTAACAAGTGACAGCTACAGATGAGTATCTTAAGATACACTTTGAGTACCTAATCCTAAAACTACCAAAACAAAAAGGTCAAAGTGCAGAACTCCCCCAGCCCTTTTCGATTTAATTTAGCTACTTAAGACAACAAAAGGAGAAATTACCACTCTGCAGAGAACTTTAAAGAAGCGGAAAAAGATTTCCACACAACTAGTACTTCAGAAATCTTTAGTGAATACATAAAGTATGGAATTTCTTACTTAATAGCAAATGGCTCTATCAATGATTCAACAATCAGAAAAACACTAACGGTAGGAAAATCAGTAGATCAACCACACAAAGATTAACTTGGTCATACTAAACCAAACTTAGTAAAAGAGAAAGTAGCTGACTTAGCAGGGCTTACGGAAAAAATGTGCTGAACAAGAAAGGAAACAGAACATGTCCAATTAAGCTCATTTTTAAATGTTCTGCAAGATATAATCCTCCATAACAAAACTCAAAACAAAGGAAGATGATTTGTACATTGAAAATAAACTAGTTTACTTGAAAAATCCTATATTAACAATCTTATATTCACATAGAATGACAAAAGACCCCATATAGCCAAAACAATCCTAAGCAAAAAAAGAACAAAGCTGGAGGCAGTATACTCCCTAATCTCAAAACATAATAAAGTGCTTGTAATCAAAACAGCACGGTACTGGCAAAAAACAGATGCATCAACCTAAGAACAGAGGCGAAAACCCAGAAATAAATCCACACATTTGTGGTTAGCTGATTTTTTATGAAGGTGCTAAAAACACACAATGGGAAAGGATAGTCTCTTCAATAAATTGTGTCGGCAAAACTGCACATACATGCAAAATAATGAAATTAGGCCCTTATCTTATAACACACAAAAAAAACCTCAAAATGGACAAAACACTTAAATACAAGACCTGAAACTATAAAACCACTAGAAGAAAACGTAGGAGAAAAGCTCCATGACTTTAGACAATGATTTCTTGGATATGATGACCCCAAAAGCACAGGCAGCAAAAGCAAAAACAGGCAAATGGGATCACATCAAACTATAAAGTTTCTGTATAGCAAAGGAAACAATAAAGTGAAGAGACAATCCACAGGATGGGAGAAATATCTGCAAACCATATGTCTGACAAGGCATTAATATACAAAATATATAAGGAACTCAAACAACTCAATAGCAAAAAAAAAAAAAAATTTTAATGGGCAAAGGACCTGAACAGACACTTCTCAAAAGAAGACATAGCAATGGTCAATAGGTACATTTTTTAAAATATTCACCATCAGTAAACTTTAGGAAAATCCAAATTGAAACCACAATGAGATATCACCTGACACCTGCTAAAATGGCTTTTATCAAAAAGATGGAAGATAAGTGTTGGACAGGACGTGGAGGAAAGCGACCTCTTGTACCCTGTTGGTGGGAATGTAAATTAGTACAGCCATTATGGAAAACTGTATGGAGAGTCTTCAAAAACTAAGACTACCATATGACCCATTAATCCCATTTCTGGATATATCCCCAAAGCTACTAAAATCAATGTGTCAAAGGGATATCTGCACTCTCATGTTCATTGCAGCATTATTCACAATAGCCAACATCTGCAGACAACCTAAGCATCTATCAGTGAATGAATGGATACAGAAAATGTAGTATATATACACCACGCAATACTATTCAGCCTTTAAAAAGGGAGAAATCCTGTCATTTGCCAAAACATGGATGAATCTGAAGATATTATGTTAAGTAAAAAAGGCCAGGCACAGAAAGACAAATACTATATGATCCCACTTGTGTATGAACTCTAATAAAGTTGAACTCATAGAAATATAGAGAATAATGGTTACCAGAAGGTGGTGGGGAGAGGGGGTGAAGAGGGAGAGAAAGGGGAGTTGTTGATCAAACAGTCCAAAGTTTCAGACAGACAGGAGGGATAGGTTTTGAGATTTATTGCACATCAGGGTGACCAGTGTCAATAATAACGTACTATATATTTCAAAATCACTGACAGAATAAATTTCAAATGTCTCACCATAAAAAATGATAGATAAGCAAAGTGATAGATGTTAACTTGATTTAATCATGCCACATTGTATACATATATTAAAACATCTTATTATACCCCATTAATGTATACAACTATGATTTTTCAATAAGAAAAAAATAATAAAAAGTAAAATAAAGTCATTTACTTGGTTCAAAATCAAGGGATGAGTATAAAGTTACTAATGATCAAATTGGTTAAAATATAAACTTAAAGTTCAAGTGTTAGTCATCTATATACAATAGAAACATAAGGAAATACTGCACACAAATCACAGAATTGTACAAAGTACCTGAGTCGTATCATCAGTCTCTTGAACAAAGCGGACACCAGTTCTTGATCTGGTATTTCGTTTAATACCCAGTGGATCCCCATAGTCCTTGAGAGGTGAGGTAGGTGGAAAACGATGGCTCTCTTCACAAGTGAAAGAAAAGGGAAGGTATTAAAACACTGCATAGAAGAGACCATCTAAAATTTTACTCAGTACAAACAAGGCAGAGATGGATATATATATACATATGTCCCTAACCCAGACTATTTCCCAACTATCTTGCTATGGCTATAAAGTTCCACCAAATTAGCATTAATTGTGCTCTTAAAGCAGATAAAATGAAAAACAGAAATAACCTGGAAATAGAACACTCCAAAGTTTCAATTTGCTATACTTTCCAAAGAAGCAACATATTTGCTCATATAAAAATAATGAATTGCTAAATAAAAAACTTGTATGACCCCTTAATATAACTTAATACTAAAAAACACAATTTTTAAAACTACGTAATCTACAATCTGAACAGCATATAAAAATAAAAACTACAGAAAAAGTACCCAATTTTTAATCATTTTGATCACAATCAACAGTAATATTAACAATGTAAGGTACCAATGTTCAATTATCTAAATCGTCTTCCCTTACTGCAGGCTTTTCGATTCAAACATGAATCTCAGTGCTATACAAAAGTGTAAGTAAGATTAATTAGGACAAACGGTCATAACCTTTAAGCTAGTCATTCATATCCACCTGCATGCCAAGACTAAAATTCATCTGGTCTTAACAAGTATCACAGGATATTTCATAAGACATGTGAAATGTATTATGCTAGGACAAGATACTTAACCTAAAAAGTGTATCACATAGTGAATCTTATTTATGTATTTGTTTTGATTCTTTGGCAGCAGACAATTAAATCCAGGTTTTTGTCAGGTAAAGCTCTAATGTGGTCTACAGAGTCTAAGGAAAAAAACAATATAACAACAAAGATCCTTTAATATATTTCAACTTATGTACTATAAAATCCTGGACAACTACACGTTCTATCATCCAATCTGCGTGAAGTTATGCGTGGGTCATATTTCTCCAAAAATTAAATGTATTCAATATCTACTTCAAAAATATTATTAAAACAAAAAATTGTTTTCCAGAACATTTGAAGTGTTTACCTGGCCCAGTGCCACCATCAAGGTCACTTGCACTCAAACTTGTAACAGAAATACTTCTCCCTCCTGAGTTTCTCAATAAACGTTGACTCCGGAGTTGGTCAATTGATTGTTCCAAGCTTTCTTTTAACTAATTTAAAGAATATAATGAATGAAGCGTTATTCTTCCTAAACAACTTCCAAATACAAATAGACCAAAGATTTTCAAAGCTATTTCTGAAATATCTGGGTTCCCCCAAAAAAATATATCAGAAAATGTTAAACTATGTTTAAAATATAAAAATAGTAAATACAAATATTTCAAGAACCAATACTAAAATCTGGTTTTAAAAGGCATCTGTCACTACCTATTCCATTTTTTATTGCCAGATGTGGAAAAGATGTCTACTGTGTAAGGGCTTACAAAACCAAATTGAAATGTCTAATTGGTGCACTACTCATGTGAAGAAACATAACAAGGTCAACACAACTGAAAGAAGACAGAAAACTTTCCTCCCTTCTAAACATTCCTTCAGAAACTCCAGGTCTACAACAAATAGGAAACTAAACAGCTGTCACAGTGACAGCTGCTACTGAAACAATGTACACTGTCCAACTGTATTAGCAGAATACCTCTTTCAGTCATTCAAAGGCTTCAAACCCCAGAAAATGATTGGGTCAGATATCAGACTGCCAGTACACACTAAAAACTACAGTTGTCCAAATGCTTTATTCAGTTTATTAAGGAGTCAGCCAACAGGGGACATACAAAAACATATCTTTAGACTTAAAAAGCTACATTAAATAAAAACATGCTAAATACTGAGAATAATGTTCAGAGCTGTAAACAATTACAGACCTGAGAATAGGATTCGACTAAGACCCGAGGGAAAAAAAGAGTAAAGCTGAAGAAAATCCATACATCTTGAATTGCTGGGAAACTTCGGGTCTAGATATCTTATTCAAGGATGAATAGAAAGTAATCATTTTAAACATAATGCATGGATCCATGGAACAAGTCATCTATAACTATTTAAACAGAATTTGACATTCTATATAAACCAAACGATTCACTGAGAAGACAGGGTTTCCTAAATATAGCCAGTGTTAAAAGGTAGAACACCATTTATGGGAAGAACAAGTTGCTTTAGTTGGGGAAACCAGCGGAAAGAAAGGAACCTCAACTGAAGGAAAAGCACAGATGAAACAGAATATGAGTCACAAACAAAGCAAATCCTTTTTCAGTCTGGCTGTTTGGATTTGGCTGTTCTGAAGAACTAAAATTGAAACAATTCGTATTAAAAGAAGTAGAGTTAGAATTTCAGGAATCTACTTCTTTTGTCCCTCTCATTTCTGTAAGGAAAAAAAAAAAGAGGATTTCCACATCCCTCTGTTTCCTCCTTCCCTAAACTGGGATATGTACGATACCATCCTGCCTTGAGTATTCACCAGCCAGCTCTAAGACTCAGCATTGGCTGGGCGCGTTGGCTCACGCCTGTAATCCCAGCACTTTAGGAGGCCGAGATGGCTAGATCACTAGGTCAGGAGTTCAAGACCAGTCTGGCAAACATGGTGAAACCTCGTCTCTCCTAAAATACAAAATATTAGCCGGGCATGGTGGCGGGCGCCTGTAATCCCAACTACTCGGGTGGATGAGGCAAGAGAACTGCTTGAACCTGGGAGGCGGAGGTTGCAGTGAGCTGAGATTGCGCCACTGCACTGCAGCATGGGTGACAAAGTGAGACTCTGTCTCAAAAAATAAAAAAATAAAAATAAAAAAACAACTCAGCATCAATCCACAAAACATACTATGATGCCCAGGAAAATCAAGGTTTACCTTCAGAGTAATTTACACATACGTAAAATAACACATAAGTGGACCAGAGATCTTATGCAGTGACCACAAAGTAGTATATCAGTAATCTATGACAAAATTATCAGAATAAAACTAAACAATGTTAAAGCTTAAAAGCTCAAATTCAAACTGTAACATGAGAAACAGACTAGAAATATAAAGTGACTTTAGATCATACAAATTAGTGTCAGAACAAAAATATAAAATCAGCTCTCTTAACGTTTGCTGTGTTTATTATTTCCATCTTTCAAGCTAAACTCAATTTCAGTATCCTTTTGAAAGCAGAGTCAGCTATCATTTCTTACTACTGCTTCTTTTTGAAGGTAATCTGCCTTTTTAGCTCTGGCTATTTTTCAGATTTTCTCTTTACCTTTGTCAGTGGTTTTATTATGTATCACTATGTACAGTTTTATTTGCATTTATTCCATTTTTGATCCATAGAGATCAGAAAATCCATAGCTTAATAAATTTCATACGTTGTAAATTCTCAGGCATCATCTTTTCAAACATTGTTTTTGCCTCATTCTCTCTCCCCTCTCCTTCTGGAAATACAACTGCGTTTCAGTTATACCTTTTTACCAAATGCTGTATGTCTTCTTTTCTCTTTTCCATATTTTTTCAATCTTTCATTCTTCCAATCTTTTTGGATATCTTATGCTACTTTGTCTTTCAATTCATGAATTCTCTTTCAACTATATACAAGCTATTGTTCACTTCATTCATTAAAGGTCAGTTGGTTATTTACTTATGTTATTTTTCAGTTTCTGAAATTTTCATTTGGTTCCTTTTAGTTTTCAATTATTTTCCAAATCTCTTAATTCTTTTAATTTTTTAAACATGTTATTCATGGTTACCTTATAGTCCCATATATTTTTCTATTGTCTGCTTCTTCCCTTGGTTTTCAGACACCTTTTATATTCTCTTATGTCTGTGTATTCTTTATCATGTGATAGACATTTTACATGAAAAGCTGTAGAGATAATTTAAAGTTCAAGAGGATGACATCTTTCTTCAGAAAAATCTGGTTCTGTTTCTAACAGAAAGTCAGGTTAGGGTCACTAGCAATATCAAATCACCTTAATCCACTTAGGAATTGAGTGGTTCGAGGACAGGCTTCTGTTACTATGAAGGCTGTTCTATTTTCAGTTTATCACTTCTCATTTCCAATTCACCACTTTGCCTATACTGTCACCCTTTGGGGTCTCCATTAAAGCTGAAAGGCTCCTGAACTCCAGTTTTGCTCTTCCAAGCCTCTTAAGTTGATTGATAACTCTGATCCTAGCCTCTCTGCTTTTAATCCGCCTCTTTAGGAATCAGCTATCACCTTGAAGGAGGAAAAAAGTCCCAAATATAAGACTTACCCTTCTGGACTTACGTTTTTTGCCAGATCCTGACTACAAAATTCCTTACTGCTTTAGTAGTTTTTTGATGGATTCATAATATTATTTTTTTACTTTTTTTTTTCATGTTTCTAGTTGTTCTCAGTAGAAGAATTGATCGAAAATAATCTTATCTATCAATGCCAAAAGCAGATCTTGCCAGCATCCTTTTTATGTAGGCTTATTTGCTAACAAATCCTAAGCTGTAACTAAAAGCTGAGAAATAAAATGAATTTTCACACACACACACACACACACACACACTCCCTCCCTGCCACCAAAAGAAAAAAAGCTACCATGAGACATACAGAAGAACATTAAAGAACAAGAGAAATGAAACATTTCCCCAAAATCTAAGAAGAATAAAAGATGTTCAAAAACTATTTCAAAAATACAAAAATTACAAAAACGATTTGTCAACCCCATTTTAAAACTCTAAAAAGATATATCCAAAGCCATTGAAGATGAACAGGATGATTTATAAGGTCCAAAAAATAAAATTATGTAATATAAAGGGAGATGAATGAAATAAAGGCTATTTTAAATTACTCTTCCAAGCATTATGGCAAAAACAATTCTTGCATCTAAAACATAAAACTAAAAATGTAATAGAATTAAAATCTACACTTGAAGTAGTCACAACACAACACAACAGACACTGCACAAAATTTAATGATGTATGGAGCCGATTTGGTAACTCCTAAAACACAAAAACCAAGAAATAAAGAGATAAAGTATGAAGTCATAAAAATTGTTTTAAACTCTTTCGGATCATAACACCTTACTAGGTGTAAAGCCGAACCAAACAAAATTAAATAAAAACAAAATAATATTAATAAAACTCAATCTAACATTAATTTTCTATGATGGATGATATTATTTTCCTAAAATTAATCAATCTCACCCAAGACTGTGGTACTAACTACAATGTTGTAAATTCTTTCGAGTCTAGTAGGACTACCTCACCAGATACCAAATGATGATCCTATTTTCCCCCACTTTCCCCTGTCTGAAATACTGTAAAATGGACATCACAGAACATAACGTATATCAATACCTCTCTTGATATAAATGCATTATTTAAAGATTAGGTCTATTCTTTCACCCTCTGTTCTTTTGATATTAACCTGAAACAATGGAAACTACTGTGTACCAGTATAAATGCAAATAAAATTTGGGCACTGGAATTGAATGGCTATGGTTTGGATCTGTGTCCTCACCTAAATCTCATGTTCAATTATAATCCCCAGTGTTGGAGGTGGAGCCTGGTGAGAAGTGACTGGATCATGGGAGCAGAGTTCTTCTGAATGGTCTAGCACCATCCCCACTTGGTACTGTACTGTGAGTGAGTTATCATGAGATCTGGTTGTTTAAAAATGTGTAGCACCTCTCCGCTCCTTCCCATGCTCCTACTCTGGCCATGTGACATGTGTGCTTCCCCTTTGCCTTCTGCCATGATTGTACGTTTCCTGAGTCCTCCCTAGAAGCTGCTTCCTGTACAGCCTGTGGAACAGTGAGCCAATGAAACTTTTTTCCTTTATAAATTACCCAGTCTCAGGTAGTTCTTTATAGCAATGCAAGAATGGACTAACACAGGTAGTTTATCCAAATCATCAAGACATGCTTTTTCAGATTTAAGCATGTAGTAGGCTTCCTCTAGCCAAAGATAAAACAATTTGAGCATAAATAAAAACATTAACTCCAATGGATGAAAACACTTTAAATATGCATAAATTATAAGTTAATAATGATACTCAAGGGGTAAAAAAGTCATTGGTCACCATAAGAAGATGTAGGAAATCAATTATTTTGGAAACTGATATATAAATGAATTGAAAAATAACTGTAGATGCTTTTACATTACCATGAAAATAAAATACTAAGTTTTAAAATTGTCACAGAGATCTCCGAAAGCCTTTTGATGTCTCTATTTGGAAAAACTCTGATTAGAAACAAAATGTAACTCAAGGTTAATGAACTGAAAAAGAATGCATATAAAACTCAAAAGGATTGACTACATTGCAACCTAAATCTATGAAAGGAGATCATCTGGGCAACAATGGGTACTCCAAAAAACAGAAGTGATCATTAAAAACATTATAATTCAGGCCGGGTATGGTAGCGCATGCCTGTAATCCCAGCACTTTGGGAGGCCAAGGCAGAAGGATCACTTGGGCCCAGGAGTTCAAGACCAGCCTGGCCAACACGGTAAGATCCCATCCCTACTAAAAAATTAAAAAGTAAAAAGTAGCCAGGTATGGTGGTACACAACTGGAGTCCCAGCTACTCAGGAGGCTGAGGTGGGAGGATTACTTAAGCCCAGTAGTTCAAGGTTACAGTGAGCTGTGATTGCACCTCTGCACTCCAGCCTGGATAACACAGTCAGACTCTGTCTCAAAATAAGTAAATAAATAAAAATTTAAAAATAGAAATATTGTGATTCAGAAGGACCAAAGAAAAGCTTCATTTGCTTTCCTCTGCTGTACTACTTTCACTTCTGCCCCCACTCCTGTCTGCATCTTTCACATCCCATCAGATAACTTTCTTACATGTTTTATTTTGTGGATGAAATAAGATAATCTATGTAAAACAATTAGAACAGTGCCTGAGGCAGATTTGGTTGTTCAGTAAATGACACCTTTTATTATTATGATTAAAGGCAATGACAATAAAAGTAAAAAATAAACAGAATGATGAAATAGAATGCTTTAATCTGGAGAAGGTATTTAAAAGAGTTTGTCATTTCCTAAAAATGTATTTACAACTCAAATGGAAATATCTGTTGAGTTTATTTACTTCCCATTTATAAAACCACTCCCGGGCAGGACGCGGTGGCTCAAGCCTGTAATCCCAGCACTTTGGGAGGCTGAAGCAGGCGGATCACGAGGTCAGGAGATCGAGACCATCCCAACCAACATGGTGAAACCCCATCTCTACTAAAACTAGAAAAATTAACTGGGCATGGTGGCATGTGCCTGTAGTCCCAGCTACTCAGGAGGCTGAGGCAGGAGAATTGCTTAAACCTGGGAGGCGGAGGTTGCAGTGAGCTGAGATCACGCCACTGCATTCCAACCTGGTGACAGAGCAAGACTCCATCTCAAAAAAAAAAAACAAAAAAAACTATTCCCTCAGAAAGTTCAGCATTATTCAACTCTAGGCCTACCAAAGAGACTTGATGACAATGGGTCCCTCACTGAAAACTGCTTTCTTAACATTACAATATTTACTGCTATGGAATATATCATACCTAAAATTGGGTATACATAATTTAACTTCCCAACTGCCCAATTCAAAGGAAATTTGATACCCTAAGTAAGGATCTAATACTCAACTTTACAAAGGAGGACTATACTCTGCTAATGGTTAACAAGAATGTTTTCAGTTTTTCACTAATAAATTAAAAAGCAAAGACTCAATTCCCATTATTAATAAGGTAATGAATCTGAAACATTTCATGAGCTACTCAAATATAACAAAGTCTATAGAGCTCCATTAGTCAAGTACATCATAAATCATAAAAATGCTGTAAATACAAGGATGTCCGAACTCATTTTCTAAATAAAAATAGTAGAAACCCTTATAAGAGAAGATATGTTTCCCTACACCCAATTAGCTTACAATTACAAGTGATTAATGATGACTATACCTTTACTTTGGAAAAAAAAAAAAAAAAAAAAAAAAAAAGAAACCAGTCATCAATTACAACTTGGGAGTTACGTGACAATTCAATACAACACAGGTATGTATAAAACAATTATTATTCCTTCATATTTCCAATGATAGCTACACACACAATGTGATTTTAGTGTTTTCATTACATTGTATATATACCCATCATTGGAAACATGAAGGAATAAATTTAATTGCTTTTCCAAGAGTTTACAGGATAGGAGTAAGCAATTCCAAAGGAAAGAAAGGTAGAAGATAGAATTAGCAACACATTAATTAAAAATGCATTATTAACTTTATTCCAGAACTCTGAAGTACATTTCTTTCTTACATCCCCATGTAAAGTAAGTATAAACTGGAACATCCTTGAAAGGGCAATTTTGAAATGTGCAGCAAATTTTTAAATGCACATATCCTTTAACCCTGCAATTCTACTTCTAGCAATCCTACAGGATTACAAAGACATATATATGGGTGTGTATAATAATGGTCATTGCTATATGTTTATAAGAAGAAGAAAAACTAGATACATTCATACTATGGAATACTGTATAACCATTCAAAACAATGAAGTAGTGCTACACAAACTTACATGGAAAGTGATACGCATTATTAAATTTTAAAACGTTGTATAACATTATATTTAATACGATTCCATTTTTAAAGCAAATCGTACATATGCTTGCAAATACATAGAAAATGTTTGGAAACATGAAGATCTCAAAATTGTTACCCTCTTTTTTGAGTGGGGCTCAAAGGAAGGCTGGATAGAATTGGAGGCCATTATCCTAAGTGAAGTAACTAAGGAATGAAAAACAAAATACCACTTGTTCTCACTTATAAATGAGAGCTAAGCTATGCGTACACAAAGGGATACAGCGTGGTATAATGGACATTGAAGACTCAGAAGGGAGAAGGCTGGGAGCAGGGTAAAAGATGAAAAACTATTGGGTACAATGTACACTCTGTGGCTGGCAGGTACACTAAAATCCCAGACTTCATCACTATACAATTCATCCATGAAACCAAAAAACCATTTGTTCCATTAAAGCAACTGAAATTTTAAAAAATTCAAAAGGGGCTTTGAGAGAGGAATTTTTCATTTTTTGTTTTAACAATGAACACTTATTACTTGAAAATAAACCATCCTTGAAATTCTTAACTCTGCATGAGGGGTTTCTCCATGGTCTAAGTTTACCAAGTCTCCATTAAATTTATATCTTGAATTCCTCTCTCTCTCTGATGTAAAGCCTTCAAATTCAATAGAATCTAATTTATATAAGCTAGTTAGCAATCCATCTGACAAGCTAACCTAAATTTAAACTATAAAACAAAAAATTAGTTTAAAATCTAAAGTGCTTCACAATGGTTATTTCCTTTAGCTCACATCCCCATTCCCCAAAACACTTCATTCCCAAAATGTTGGGTAGGAGAAAATGCAAACATATGTAGTTTCTCACATGTTCTATCGCACCCGCCTGTCCATTACTGTATTCTCGGTATCGTCCAAGCATCTGGTCCACTTGTCGCAGGTTCCGACTGGTATCCTGAGAAAGAAAATTGACTGAATTAATTATTCCAAATACTTTTTTTCCTAATCGATCTTAGTAGTATGTCAATCAACTAAGTCAACAGTTTGTAAAATGTATAAATTTTATCATGGCTAAGTTGAATATCAATGTACTTCATACATATTAAGTAAATCTTAACACCACTGAGAGAAACCCAAATCCGACTGCAATTTACTTGTGTAATATCTGCAGCACATAATGTAAATCGTTATTCAAGGTCCCCTAGTAAGTTGGCAACAAACCATTAATTCTTAGAATCACAATTTTCAATTTGTGCCCCTCAACCAATTCACACTCTCTTTATAGAAAAGGAATCCTGAAACAGCAAATCTAGTAGACTGTGTGCGAGAGAAGAAAATCATTAAGAGCAATGTTATTTCAACTATTCTTTTACCTCAGAACTTGATGAGAAGAAAAATAACAAATTTAATTTTCATCACAATAGAAATGGTTCTCATCTAAATATGCTAGATTTTACCTGGGAGATTAATCAAGATATTTCTCTCAAAAATGTATACCTATTAATGTGTCTCAGTGTTGGGAAAGTACAAGAATTTGTACTGCAAAATTGCATTGTTATCTTACTTTACTTACATTTTACTTACTTTACTTACTTACTTATTGATCAGAAAGGGTCTTGCTCTGCCACCCAGGCTGGAGCAAAGTGGCATGATCATGGTTCACTGCAGCCGCAGCTTCCTGGACTCAAGGAATTCTACTGCCTCAACTTCCTGATTAGCTGGGACTACAGGTACACAGCACTATGCCCAGCTAATTTTTTTTTTTTCTTAATTTGTGTTTAGACAGAGTCTAAGTATGTTGCCAAAGCTGGTCTCAAACTCCTGGCTCAAGTGATCTTCCTACCTCAGCCTCCAAAAGTGCTAGGATTACAGGCATGAGCCACCATGCCCAGCCCAGCCCATGATGTTACTTTAAATAAGTTTAAAAAGGATAGGTCTTCTGGTTTTCAAATCAAAGCATGGCTTCGCCATCAAAAATTATCTTCTTCTTATCTAAGCATACTAATCCAAAGCAATTAAAAGCCAAAATCCATGCTTAGCCAGACTAAGGCAAAGGTAAGGGATTAATGAGTAGGAAATACATTCTGAGTTTTCTTTTTTCCCATATAGCTATGTTACCCTTCCCCCACCTCTTTTCTAAAGCCCTTTCTAAGAAAAAGCAGCAAAATGCCTTAACTCAAACCTCCAAATGCTGGCAAAAATTAGTCTCTACATCAAAATGGCATCTTTTTATTTTCATCCACAAATAATCTACCTCACCAAAATGAGCAATTTCTCTAAAGGCACGTGCCCATGAGAAGCTAAACTATCATCATTTCTACTGGTTTCACTCCCACAATATTTTATTTAGAAATACTGCTTTATCCTAAAACACTCTCCATCACCTATCACATATTTCAAATATCTTTACCAACTGTCATAGGCAGAATAATGGCCCTCAAAGATATCCAAGTCCTAATCCCTGCAACCTGTGTATGTATACCTTACATGGCAAAAGGGATTTTGCAAATGTGATTACATTGAAGACTTTTAGATGGAGAGGTTCTCCTGGATTATCGGGTGGACCCAATGAAATCATAAACATCCATAAAAGAGGAAAAGGGAGGCAGGAGAAGTAAAGTCATAGGATGTGAAAGGGCTTGACCCTTCCAACCCTTCCCTGCTGGCTTTGAAGATGAGGGAAGGCAGCCACAAGACAAGAAATGTGAGCAGCCTTTAGAAACCAGAAAAGGCAAAGCAATAGATTGTTCCCTTAGAGCCTCCAGAGAGGAACACATCCCGACCAACACTCCAAGACCCAATGAGACCAGTGTTGACTTCTGACATACAAAACTTTAAGATAATAATTTGTGTTGTTTTAAGACATTAGCTTTGCAGTAATTTGTTACAGCAGCAAGAAAACTAATCCACTGACTGAAACTATTAAGCAGCTCAAACTATTTAAATACTATTAAATGTAACCATTGTTAAACTAACCTGTAAAGTACTTGTTATAGTGTTGACCTTCTCGGTAACTTCTACTGTAGGAAGACTTCGAGTTCCCCTGTGAGTTGATCTGGCAGCCCATGGACTCAATCGATCACGATAGCGAAAGTGATCTGATTCGCTGGATGATTCTGCCATTGATGTACACAAATCCTTTTAAATAAATACAGGCCAAGGTTAATGAAACAGGAAAAAGCATAGAAATAAAAGACTAATATAACTGTTTACTTTTGATCTCTTGTCTATGTTCAACCCATTAGTTATTTTGTACACTGTAATTTCTACATACATAGCTTAAAAACACAAGAAGTCACTTCCCCATGTAATTCTCCCTCCTTCGTTTTCTCTGCTCTAAGGGAGTAATTCCTCAGATATGATTTTGGTCATGTTTACAAGTCCAGTGATAATAATACCTTGGATTCATGCAATGCTTCCAAATCTTAAAAGTATTTTCACATTTAGTACCTCACTTAATCCTACCAACAACACCGTAAGGTAGATGAGAAAAACACAGATATTCTCTAAAGTGAGGACCGGCAGGTATCTTAATATTTGCCTAATGTCCATTCTACTATAAGAACATAGGTAAAGACACACAGCATGACCTACAATAAGACGGTCTCATTCAGTGTACACTGACAACTCTCATGTACCTTGATTTAAAATACAGTAGAATTAAACAAATGCTGTAATACAGGTCCAAATTCTACAATAACAGATACGTGAGAAGGTGGCATCTTCAACATCTCCACCAAAATAGAAAGCCGGACATTCTGCGTACAGGCATCAGTAGATAATTCTCTAAACATGCTTTTCTTCCACCCTTACCTCAGTTTTAGGCTATTTAATGCATTAAAAAAATTATTTCATGCAAGGGAATCTCAAAAGTTTCAGGAAACCTTTTAATAGAAGTTGAAGAAACTAGTAAGTTCAGAACAAAGAAGCATCAGAGAAACTCAACTGATAAAAAGTGAAAGTGTATTGAGTATCCCAATAATTTCATTTTCTACTTAATGGTGGGTTAATGTTACTTTAACATTAATTGCTAGAATCTTTCTAAAATCTACATGGCCATTTTGCTGGCTGATTAAATACAGTGTGATAAAATATTTCTTTTTTTTTGGTTTTGTTTTTTCAGATGGAGTCTTACTCTGTCACCCAAGCTGGAGTACAGTGGTGCGATCTTGGCTCACTGCAACCTCCGCCTCCCGGGTTCAAGCGATTCTCCTGCCTCAGTCTCCTGAGGAAACATTTCTTGAATAACAGAGTATCTTAGACTTCCAGGATCTTTATTCTGAATGCATCTGGAAGTACACTGATCATACATTTAAGGAGAAAACAAAGAGAATTTGCTAAATGTGTACATGTCCTAAAGCATTTAATGAAAGCAATTGTGTTTTTAAAATATTAGATGAAATATAACTAAACAAATAAATAAACAAGCAAGAAACCTTGCCATAAGCTTAGGTTTTTTAAAATGAAATACAGTCTGTTACTGCTGTATCAAAAAAAAAGAATCAGCGAAATATCCAACTTCTTCACACTAGCTAAGACAGGGTTAGAGAACATCCTGATGGAACACCCATGCTTCTCCTCTGCCCAGAGCTCTTAACTTCCTTCTGCATTTGTCTTCTCTGGTTCTTGCCTGTCTTCTCCTACATGTAAGTACAAAGGTATAGTACCCATGATGTCAGTCCCTCCCACCATAAGGAAACATGAACAAGAAATTAAGACTGAAGCAACTGTTTGGCTTTGCTTTTCTTGGCTCACAATTGCTTAAGTCCAAAGGAAAAAAGTATTTTCTTTAGAAGAAAAGACATCTTACATATTGGCCGGGCGCGGTGGCTCAAGCCTGTAATCCCAGCACTTTGGGAGGCCGAGACGGGCGGATCACAAGGTCAGGAGATCGAGACCATCCTGGCTAACACGATGAAACCCCGTCTCTACTAAAAAATACAAAAAACTAGCCGGGCGAGGTGGCAGGCGCCTATAGTCCCAGCTACTTGGGAGGCTGAGGCAGGAGAATGGTGTAAACCTGGGAGGTGGAGCTTGCAGTGAGCTGAGATCCGGCCACTGCACTCCAGCCTGGGCGACAGGGCGAGACTCCGTCTCAAAAAAAAAAAAAAACAAAAAAAAAAAAAAAATAAACTTAGGAAATCACTTGTATGCATCTCATAAATCTATGCCATGTAACCTAACATCTTTTACTCTAAGTTACAGTACTTCCCATCAAGCGTTTTCCATTAGTGAAGGCAGGAAAAGATCAACATTTTGTAAGAATTTGCTATTCTGCCAGTTACTATGCAGATGCTTACATAAGGCAGCCCAATTTAATTCTCATAACAACTTATTAAAGCGAATACTATTAACCCCCAATTTATAGAGGATATACTACTGCTAAAAGATATAAAATAACATGCAACTCCCTACAGTAATTATAAGTAGAATGCAAAACCAAGATTCAGCTGGCTTTCTCTGTCCTCAATACTATGTTCTTCCCACTGTGCTCCGCTGTCCGTTTATCCGAAGAGTTAACAATCTTAACAATTAACAAAAAGTGCTAAAGACTGCAAGTGCAGGCCAGAGCCTACATGTGTCTATAGTCTCCTCAACTCCCTTTCATTTCATGTTAGCATAAAAATATCAAGAAAAAAGGGAACTATCAAGTAATAATATAAAAATCCTAACTAGGCACCAGGAAAAAAACTAAGTGACATATCTATACTAATACATTTAATAAAGCCCTGAAACAAATCAATCCATGGGTCCCAGATAAAGGGATTTTTGCTTCCTTATTCCTTTTATCCTTTACATAAGAGAAAATAATAATTATGCCTGGCATCTGTCTCTCTCATATCAAAATTCTATAGCTTAAAGCATAACAATTTTCATTTTAACAAGTCATAATTGTGGGAACTAGATTGAAGTTAATAAATCACTGAAGATAAGAAATCAGGCAGAATAAAAAGTTAATATTGAAAAAGCCAATGTGCTTACTATAACAGTTGTTAATGAGAACAAGAAACAAAATAACTGTTTTTGAGATAACTGATATTTCTAAGAGTATCAAAATTTTAATAATAATCAGTTATCTGAAGACAACTTCGCCAGATATAAATGGCACGTCAGACACTTCTACTATGTAGACAATTTAAGTTTCAAGATGACTAAAAATAATTATAACTGAAATTTGGGGATAATGTTTAAGATATAAAACAGTACAGACTAATAAAGTAAATATGCGTGTATCTACCACCAAGAACTAATAAATATTATCATTCTGACAGATGTACCTTTGAGAGTTTTTAGTAAAATATTTAGAATACTGTAAATAAAGTCTTAGTACCTTCCAGCCACCCCTCCTTCACCCAGTACTACTCCTGCCCCATTTTCCCAGGGATAATCACCAGCATGATTTCATGTATAACTCTCCAGGCTGTTTTTGTACTATTCCCACAGGCATGGGTACCTCAAAGTCTTTTTTTATAAAAAACACACTGCACTGAATTGATAAATATTAACAAGTAAAGATATGGGGGCATCTGAATTTAACTCTAAGGCAGAAAATCTTACTGGTATAAAATAAAATTAAGAACAACATAAACATAAATTATCTCCAATCGTCATATAATACAAGAAAAAAAAAATGATCTCTCACTTACCCCACTAGGATTACATACTTTTACTAAGACAGAATCACACGTTCCGGCATGAGTTTCACTAGCACACACACAAAGTCTTCAGCTATAAAGTTAAGTTACTGTAAGCAATAAAAGAGGTTCAAACTCCTGCATCTGATGGAACTCCTGCAAAGACATCAAGATTTAAGATGAGATATATCTGAGAAATTGGCATGGCTTTTTTTAAGCATATGAAACATTCAGCAACTATCTAAGGGCTTTAATTACATATGTTTCATAAATGTTAAACTAAGTAAAATTTCAAAATCTCATTATAATAAAAAATAGAATTTAGATTATTTTCATTGTTGATAAAAATCTGGCATTTTCTTCCACTATTACTGACAACACAAGGTCAAACATGATTCCCACAGCTAACTAACAGAGCACCTAACTAACCCTTCATGCCACAACACAGAAGGCAGCTATAGTGGCAGAAGTCCATCCTTACCAAGAGTCACCAATCTATCATCAGCCAACACCATTACACCCCAGACACAGGACTGATGGAGGGAGAAGCAGATGAGAATGGAGTGGCCGCTGAAGTTGGCAAGAGGCTCACACCACATAATCAGAACCTACAGTAGAATACATGGGAGGCCAAGAAAATCCTGAGAGACCCTTAATATAACTGACTCAAAAAGAAAAGTACAAAGCAATAAGCATCAATTATACACTCCTTTTGTCATTAACAATGTACTATTTTACACTATAATTAAAAACTAATTTTATAAAAGAATGGTAAATAGTAATATCACTGGCAATAATGAAAACTGACCAGGCCTCTGAAAATATTTTCCTCAATTAAAGTTTACCTATTATTTCATTTCATGTCAATAAAAACATATGGAGAGTGGTCACATAAGGAAACAAATATTCAGGGCCATGAAAAGACATTTAACCTGATAATCTAAGAAATATAATTTAAACAATAAGATGCTTTTCTAGACTATGTAATTGTTTTCTGTTAAATGGTAACGTCTATGGTTAGTGAGGTTGTAGGGGAAGGAGCACTTCTACACTTTCCTAATGGGAACATGCAAATTTGAATAACTTGTCTGGAAGTCAGCAGGTAATAAGTATCAAGAAGAGCTTATACCTTTGCCCTGGTAATTACACTTCCAAAAATTTCTCCTAATAAAATCATTTACAATACATATAGAAATTTATATACAAAAATATTTACTGCAATAGAGGCAAAATAAAAACAACTCAAATTCTCAAATTTCAAAATACAAGAATGGTTAAAGTAAGATATATCTATACAATGAACAGACATTAAAAAATTTGTTTCTGAAGAACATTTAATGACAAAGCATGGGATAAAGGCAAGAATTCCAATTTCATAATAAACGTTATATGTTATCTATATGTGTATATAAATGACCAGTTCTATGGTTTGAATGTCCCCTCTAAAATTCACGTTGAAATCTAATCCCCAATGAGGCAGTATTGAGAGGTAAGACCTTCAAAAGGTGATTGGGTCATGAAGGCTCCTCCCTTATGAATGGATTAATCTATATACGGAGTAATGGATTAGTGGGCACTGGTGGTTTTTTAAGAAGAGAGACCAAATAAGTACGCTTGGCCCCCTCACGAGGTGATACCCTATGCTGCCTCAGGCCTCTGCAGACAGTCCTCACCAGTAAGAAGGTTCTCACCAGATGCAGCCCCTCAACCTTGGACTTCTCAGCCTCCGTAACTGAAAGAAATAAAGCCCTTCTCTTCATAAATTACCCAGTTTCAGGTATTCTCTTATAAACAACAAAAAATAAGCTAGGACAACCAATATATAAATTTAGAGGTGTGGGGAAGGGCAGAGATAAAGGGGGAGTGGGGAGAAACGGAACAAAAATAGATTTACTATCCAGAGTTTATAGCTGATTTGTGTTTTCAAAAACATTCCGGGCACAGTGCCTCATGCCTGTAATCTTAGCACTTTGGGAGGCCAAGGTTGGCGGATTGCCTGAGCTCAGGAGTTCGAGACCAGCCTGGACAACACAGTGAAACCCCATCTCTACTAAAATACAAAAATTAGCCAGGCATGGAGGCATGCACCTGTAATCCCAGCTACTCAGAAGGCTCAGACAGGAGAATCACTTGAACCCGGGAGGCAGAGGTTGCAGTGAGCCGAGATTGCACTGCTGTACTCCAGCATGGGCGACAGAGCGAGATTCCATCTCAAAAAAAAAAAAAAAAACCTACATTTCATGAATTTTCTAGAGTGATTTGCATTGTATAATCAGAGAGAAAACTATAATGTGTGCTTAAAAGAAACAAAAACAAATTAAACAAATTTAAAGATCTCTACAGAGATAGATTAATAGGCTGACAGCAGATTAACAGGCTGTCAACCCAGAAAATTTAATTAAATAAAAGCTCTATATTCAGAACTTCCATTTTCTTGGTAACTGTGTCCTTTTCCTCCCTGGCAACTTCTTGACCTTATGTCTTAGTCCCCTGGCATCTACCTAGGTAGGGCCATGCCACTAGTTCTCACCAACTGATGAGCTGAAGAAATGAGCCGATCACAGGGCCAATCTCTACTATTTCATACTGAAGAGCATTCACTGACCAAACGAAACATTTATCATGAGTTTATGAATTAAAAGAAAATTTCTTTTAATTTATATTATTTTCTCTTTGTAGTTTTACTGAGGTGCAGTTACTAGATTCAAAGATGACTCACTTAAAGAAACATTCTAAAATACTAGAATGAACGTAAAAATTGGAGGATATAAAAATATACTAATGTGTAGCAACATCACCTATGCAATCAAATTCTACTTTGGAAAACAAATTAAAAATGGTTCACAAGTTATATTTAATCACTATTATAATTTGAAGCCCAAAGAAGAATTATTAAGACTAGTAGAAAAAAACAATTATGTATGCTCAAGGAAAATCTTCATCATTGCCTTTAAAGATTTAAAAGAAAAAAGTTCAATTAGATAAGAAATTTACCCTCATTATCATAAGAAATTTCAGCATCACACACTGATGAAAGAAAAGGAAGAACTGCTAAATTTGAAGAATGACCAAACTCTTGAATAACAATTTAAAGAAACAGAAATACCTAAATTCCGGTTAAAGCTGAGAAAGGTATTTCTTTCAACTGGAGAAAAAACAGTAAACACTCTTCTGCAGCTTACTACCACCTGCTAGTGCAACAAAATTTCTTATTAACAAGCAAGCAACAACATTTGTGCTGTCTACTTTTCAGACATGAGCTTTTTCTAGATCTCTAGAGAAGACTAAGACGGCTGACCTTGGGAGAAAGTCTGGAATCTTAGAGCAAGCTCTGGGTCTGATATTACAATTCTTAGAATAGCTTATTTAGCTGCTCCCAACAAATCAGTATTTAAAGGCATAAATATGGTTGCTTCTGTCTTAATGAACCTTATAAAGAAAAAATACAGCCACCAGAGCAAATAATGAATCCTCATCAATTCACTCCCACTGAGGATCTATCCATCTAAAACAAATGCCCATATGCAAACTTGAATACTGCAACTAAAGAGAGTAAAACTGCATTCAACCCTTGTAATAAGAGGATTGACAATGAGCCTTTACAAACTCAAGTCCACCTCTTTTGTTATTTGACCTAAAGAGCCATCAGATTGTCTTCATTATAATGATGCACATTTGTATGTATGAGAGCTGTAATTTATTGATTCCCAAATCTCTTTGCCTCTGAGCCAGTTTAAAACAATTAGGATTTGCAAGCTGTTCCATAAAAGATAAGCACCCAGCATCGGGGTGATATTTCACAAAGACTGACTAGTGCATGTTAAGTAGGTGATTGCTTCTGTGGCCTCCAAGTGCCTCAGCTGTCCTTGTCCAAGGTAATCGTCCTCAAAGAAGATGTTCAAGGTAATTGTGTTGATATGTAGGGGGTAAGGGAAAATTGAGAGTGTATTTTACGCTTAATCATTAACAAAGTTCAAATTTTAGAATGTATTTGTCACTGTTTCTGATATGGTTAGGCTTTGTGTCCCCACCCAAATCTCATCTTAAATTGTAATCCCCATAATCCCCATGCATTTACTGAGAGACCTGATGGGTCGTGACAGGATCATGGAGGCAGTTTCCTCCATGCTGCTCTCATGATAGTGAGTTCTCACAAGATCTGATGGTTTTATAAGGGGCTCTTCCCTCTTCACTTCTTACTCTTCTCTCTCCTGCCACCATAGGAGAAGGTCCAAGCTTGCTTCCCCTTCACCTTACGCCATGATTGTAAGTTTCCTGAGGTCTCCCCAGTCATGCGGAACTGTAAGTCAATTAAACCTCTTCGTTTATAAATTACCCAGTCTCATGTCGTATCTTTAAAGCAGTGTGAAAATGGACTAATAGAGTTTCAATAGCTGTAGGACTTGAGAGCTTTGCCTCATCCTTCAAGTGAAAAAGTTAACAAGCCAGCAGACATTACCATGTAGAAACGGTTAACAATTGTACCTGTCTTCTTTACATCGGTGCTCTTCTTTAACTTCATCTGCTCAAAGCCTTTTGGCAAATTTATAAAAGATCAAAATCAAAAACTGTCCAGTCCACCAGTCAGTTCTGTTATGTTAGTGAACATAATACATTAGGAAACAGAATCAGATACTTAAATTGATTTTTCATCATTTAATGAGTTGTCACTACATTTAGAAATGAAAGATGAAAGTAAATAAATAAGTCATAGTCTTTGACAGGAGAGAAAGACGTTTAAGTGTATTGTAAATGGTGAGTTAATACAACAAAATCCTTGGGGAGTCAGGTTAGGATTTTTCCACTCATCTTGAAGGATGCACATAAGTTTGACAGGTGGATGAGACAAGGAAATAGAATCCAATTAAAAACTGTCTCAGAGAAAAGTAGACAGGATCCAAATAAGCTCAGCTCTTGCATTCTTCTACCAGGGAAGTTCTGCCCTCATCTGATTTTCATGCTATGGTTTCATGGGTTTTTTTCAATGATTCTACTATTTTCAAAAGAAAATAAAAACATTTGAAAGCCACTACTATAACTAAAGAAAAAAAAACTGAAGAATCCTGAGTGGAGAGTAACATGGTAATAAGCACATCAACAGCAGAACAGCTGGGAGGCTGTTGCAATCTATTAGGTAATGAATGGTGGGTACCTAA